GTACAACAAATGTAGTGGTGCTGGTGCACAACACACAGCAGGCAGTCAAACACTAGGATTTAAGTAGCGAGTGAACCTTCGAAGGTCTCTTGGAGCAGATGATCCATCACGCTCATGAAAAAAATCATGGATGTGGTAGCAACAAATGGAAACAGTATTACATGCAGCTGTCAGCTGTAACCGGTTTGATTCTAATTGGTCTAACTCCTCACTATCAAGATGTTGACACTGCTGGTGCCGTGTTTCTAGAATGTGCTCCCTGGACCATCTATATCGGAAACACTCGGGGACCCAGCGCTCATCTGAGACGTCAGGACTGAAATCTCTGTTTTGATGAGAGGCCCCCACGTAGCAGACTGTGGTGAGCACAGCCTTCTGCACTCAGTCTTGGGGCCCCATCACGCCCCACTGTTACCAGGCAACACTCCCTGCGCAGCCATTGGCCAGCGCTTCACCGGGCCCCACCCACAAGCAAGCAGAGGTCCAGTAGCGGGTTCCATCCTTCTCAGCTGTGGGTGGGGCCGCAGCGGGCCTGCCTCCAGGTAACAAGGAGGGCTGTGAGTGAGGGGATGCCTCACATAGCTGGTCATCCGGTGGAGACTTAGAGGCAGCTTCAGGCTTCCTCCCGGAGGCCCTCCAGCTCACCTCAACTTGGGCCAGCGGCGCTGGGGGCCCAGATAACAGCCTGGGGCAGTGCTCTGCGGGGCTCCAGAGCCTCACCAAGGACCCCCAGCGGGCCCAGGCCTTGAGGCAGCGACGAACCTCTTCCCCACCCCTGTTTCTGCAACCTAATAGCGGTGGCCATCTTCCTGGGTGACAGTCTGTGGGACCTGGCCCTCCCCCCATATGGGCAGCCTGCGGGAACTCGGCCCCGGCGGAGCTGGGGTCTGAGATCTGCCTCCTCTCAGCCAGGACCGGGACCTGGCCCTTCCTTGTCAGGACAGAGCAGCACGTTCATTTGGTAGAGACTTACAGGGACGTCCTTACCGGACCACGACCTGACCTGACGACAGGACCACGACCTGACGCTCTGACGCCAAGACGTTTGCAACAACTATCCGTGCCCCACCCGCCCCACTTTTGCTTTAAACGGGCTTTGCTGAAAGCTTTCAGTAACTTTGGGGTTCTTTAGCCGTGAGCATGACCTTGTAATAAACCTTCCTGGTTTCCAGACGCCAGTGTTTCAGTATTGTTTGGCGTCCCTGTGCAACACCCAGAAATACATTATTCAAACTGAAATTTGAGAACTCCTGATACAGGTGTTAACCAAGCCTCTCTATTACACAATTATAGACCCGAGGCTGTCGTTAATGAAATCTAGATGCTGGCCCACTTGTTCATAAATTAGCTAGGATGCAATCTTGTACTATGATGGACTCTAGACAAATAATTTCCAGTCTTTAATGCATGTTTACTAAATGGCTGATTCCCAGACCCCATTCAGAGGGACTGGGTTGAAGCCAGATTCTTCTGGCATTTCAAACAACTACCTCATGTGATCCTGATGTAGGTATTCTGCTAGATTCCCACCTCATACAGAACCCTCTGGAAAACAATATTCCTGTTAGATAGTTAAGCAACCTCTGAAAGGACAGTTTATTTCCGATTTTTATTGCCTCTTCCACAGTAAACTCCATTTGTAAGTAACTTAAATTGCCAGAAATGTCTTCTTACATTGTATCAAAATAAAGTCTAATATAATCTGCCTGGTTCTCTTAAATAGAACTACAAGAAGACTTTAGTCCCCAGTACTATTTTAAAGAGAATACACTTGACCGAGAACATCTGTGCTTCTCTTCTTTCTAGGTCCCACTGTTGCTTCTTGGGCAGAGTGGGGAGGAGAGGAAAAGGTGGGGATACAAACACGTGTCTCGTGGGGCCCTGCAGGCCTCTGCTGTTTGCACAGTCCTGGTGTTCAGAGAACCAAACATCTAGAGGAACTCGGAAGTCTCATCTCCTAGAATATCACCACACACACAGCCATACAGAGGAAACCCAGAATGTGTCATTCGGAGCTGCCCTGGATATGGGAGAGTCCTGTTTGTCAGCATAATGGTGACGATAGTGGCTCAGTCACGAAGTCGTGTCCGACTCTATGACCCCATGGATTGTAGCCCACCAGGATCCTCCATCCATGGGATTTTCCAGGCAAGAACACTGGAGTGGGTTGCCATTTCCTTCTCCAGGGGGTCTTCCCGACCCAGGGATCAAACCCAGGTCTCCTGCGTTGCCAGCAGATTCTTTACCAACTGAGCTACGATGGAAGCCTGATGGTGATGAGGGGAAAGGTTAATAAGGGATAGAGTGGGGCTGATTCACAGGAGGCAGGGGCCCTTTTTCAGCTTTCACCCTTTTTCAGGTGCTTGCTCATTCCCGTCCTGCTTCAGACCTGCCCACCGTGGACAGCTGGGTCTGACACCCACTAAGTCAGCTGTCAGGAGTAGGCACACAGAAGGTGACTGGATGGAAAATCATGGGCATATTTCTAGCCATGTCACTAGGACTTTCCCAAATCCCCAGAGCTTGACTGACTTATCCCATGAATGCATGCTCAGTCCCTTCAGCCTGACTCTCTGTGACCCCACGGACTGTAGCCCGCCAGCCTCCTCTGTCCATGGGATTCTCCAGACAAGAGGACTGGAGTGGGTTGCCATGCCCTCCTCCAGGGGATCTTCCCAACCCAGGGATCCAACCTGCATCTCACGTCTCCTGCATTGGCAGGCAGGTTCTTTACCACTAGTGCCACCTGGGAAGCCCAATTTATCCCATAGGTGTGCTTAAAAAAAACCACCCAAACCAAATACTTTATTTTATTCATGGATTTCAAGGGAAATTAATGACGAGTACAACTTCAAAAGGCAGCAGGAATAGATTTGGACATGAAAGGAGAGGTACCCAGGGTGTCCACGGGGGTACTGGGGCTGTTATTTAAAACAATGTGACTGGGCAGTTTAAAAAATCTGTGTCCCAATTATTCGTTTACAAAATGGGAATAAAATAATAACTTTAGCATTGTTGACTGTTGTGTAAGGAAACATAAGGTGTCACTCCTTAAATGTGTTGATATATAGTCAGTACTCACAGATCAGAATGTCGGACTTTATTATTAGCCTGTGATAGCCGTGATAGTTTTCCAGAAAGACAGCAGAACCAATACCAGTTAGTTCTATTGGAATGGTATTTAAAATGATGATGTAGGTCAGGATGAGCAAAAAGTGTGGCTACAAATACATATATTAAATCCTGCATGTTGCCTTTGCCTCAGTTTCCCCATTCACTTGGGTAAGGAGAGATTGAACTTGGGAACTGGGGGAATAGAAGATATACTCTTAAATGACCTGCCTCAGACACATGTATGGCTTTCACTTTTCTTAGAAAAGCTTTCTTTCTGCTGCTCTATCCAGTTTAGGGTATAAGAGTCACACACCAGAAGTCTTGCTTTGTGTAGATGTCTTTAATAATACAATTTTCAAATTAGTTATTCTTTGCAGTGGGAAATGGGAACAGGGGACTCCAGAAAGTGAATTCAGTATATTCTCTAAGAACATCTTAAATGATGAGGCCCTGCACATTCTTAACCATAATAAACCTGAAGTGAAGGCATTTAAATTATTACCATGCCAGCATCTGAATTTGGATATTGGTTGAGGTGTAGAAAGCATTATGGGTTCTAGACTGTCTCCAGCATCCTAGCTGTATAATTGCTGGGGCTTTATTATTTTTTTTCTCTGCAAAAGGAGAATGAAAACACCTGCTCTTCATAACTTACAGCACTGTTGAGAGCTTTCAAGAAAAAAAATGAAAGTGCTAATCCAAAGCAAGCTGGCAGCCTGTTTACAAGTTAGAGTTCAGAAGTTCTGGCTTCATTTTGGAATGTTCACTGGTCTACACAAGCTCCCCTGAAAGATAAGCACAGAGGAAGAACACACTCAAGGTTTTCTTCCTCATTTTGAGGCCAAAATAGTTCAATGTAGTTGCGGTTTCATATTCCCCAGACCAATTTTGGGTTTCAGAACCACACTTAACGATGGCTGGAGGAGAAACATTTATGTGGGCATGGTGGGGGTAGCCTCAAGTCAGGATTCTATAGGAGTCCCCAGAGCTCGAGTGGATTCCACCCCCACCCCCCACCATGCCAGACACTCTGGCCGGGTTTTTATTTCATTAATAAAATATGACCTCACTTTTCTTTTGTAATCCAGAAGCATGAGGATACATTTGTTGCAAACTGCATGCAGATAAAAGGGGGGTGGGCTTCCTTTCAAAACTACATCCTCTTAATAATAATTTTTGATCTACTAGACATAACAGTAGTGCATTTCTTGTTAAAACAGCAAGCTTTTTTTTAAACCAAAATGAAAAGAAAACATTCATTTCTTTATAAATAGTTTAAATAGTTTAAATACATATTTCATACCAAGGATATAAAAATAGCCTCTCTCTTTTTTTTTTTTTTTTGATAAATAAAGACATTCATTTACATGGCAAATAACGTGCAATAGCTGACCGCTGGCCACCGGCTCTGTGTGACTGATTGTCTAGGAGATGACATGTAGTGATAATTGTCCACTCGCCTTCTATTTTTGAAAAATAGATCAGCAGGAGCTGTGTACTCCCAGAGCCCACAATATGGATATTGTTCAGGAGGGACACGCAGGCACTCAGGAAAAACCTTTGCTGCTCTTCTGAAAAGCCACCTAGGACTCGAGTCCACACACTCTTCGCCTGGGACTTGTAGCTGCTCAGACCCTCAGAGTCTTTGGACTTTTACCAAAGTCTGTCGAACAGACCAGTAAGTTAATACCTGCACAGGTAATGGGCCCTACTTTTGTCGCTAGGATGTAGGAAGGGTCTGCTGCGGGATGGAGGTGGTTCTCCTGCCCTGGGGCCCGTTTTCCAGGGCTCTGCCCAGTCTTCACGCTGCCAGGGGCAAGCGAGGCCACCCGGGCTGGCATCCCGCGGCGACGGGCGGAGGCGGGCACCGCCCAGGTGCACTGCCATCATACGCGCACGGCTCTGTCATCTTTCACTTCTGCTGTGCTTGCGACCATTTCCAGGGGAAAGTTCTCCAGGGCTTCGGTGGAGACGGATGCCCGTCCTTCCCGCTCCCAAGACCCCGGCAGAGTTTCCAGACTGAAGGAACTCGCAGCGCCCTGGCCCAAGCTGCCCTCCTCCGATCGGCTGGGGAGAACCAGGTGCAGCGACGTCTCTGAGGAGGAGCAGACGGGGGAGGAGAGGGTGGCCGAGATGGACTGCAGCGGCGTCGGCGTCATGTCCGACTGCGGGGCAACGCACCTGAGAAACTGCAGACGACCTTCCTGCACCACCGGGCAGTGGGCAGGCGCGTGGTCCAGGCTCGGGGAGGCGCGGAGCTCCCCGCCCGCCGGACTCTGCTCCTGGGCGCCCGTCTGCTGGGGGCTGCCGCCCGCCGAGGAGGGCCCCGCGCTCCACCTGTCGGGGGCGACGCTCCCCTGGCACAGCGGGGCTGGGCTGTACGCGGCGCCGGCGGCTTGCAAGTGCAGACAGGGCTGGTGCGCGCTCCAGGCCGTCCTGCCCTGGAAACCGGAGGGACACAGAGAGGCGGTGTGCAGAGAGCAAAGCCGGGACTGCTGCTGCGGCGACAGGACGTGCTCGAGAAGCTGCATCACCGTCTTCATGTCCCTGCCGAGCTGGGAGACCTCCTGAGTCAGCGTGGTTACCTGCGGGGACAAAGCAGAGCGGAAGGCAGCAGACCAGCACGGCCGCGATCTCAGAGCACGGAAGGGAAGGGGCGTTTCTCAGTCAGAAGGTCCGGAAGACGGCTTGGCCTCCAATTCCAGCCAAGCCCGAAGGGTGACCGAGGAACGGAGCACCCGATCTAAAGCCATCCTCATTCCGAGGAGACCTGGAGAGACACAGTCTGCTGTTGTTGTTTTTTTAATTGTATACCTTTATTATTTTTTTATTGAAATATTGTTGATGTATAATGTTTCAGGTGGATAACAAAGTGATTGAGCTCTACATATTAGGGTTGGCCTAAAAGCTCATCCTGGAACTTTTAGGCAAATGCAATACACACACACACACACACACACACACACACACACACATTTGGGGCCTCTCCAGTGGCTCAATGGTAAAGAATCTGCCTGCAATGCAAAAGCCACAGGAGCCCTGGGTTCGATCCCTGGGTGGAGAAGATGCCCTGGAGGAGGGCATGGCAACCCTCCAGTGTTCTTGCCTGGAGAATCCCATGGACAGAGGAGCCTGGTGGGCTACAGTCCATGGGGTCGCAAAGAGTCGGACAAGACTGAAGCGTCTGAGCAGGCACACACCCATACACACACATATATTTCTTTTTAGGTTATTTTCCCTTAAAGATTATCACAAACCATTAAGCAGACCACCCTGTGCTATCCAGCAGATCCTTGTTGTTTTTCTAGTTTATATGTAGTAGTGTAAATTAGTAAACTCCTAATTTAGCCCTGTCCGCCCCTTTCTGTCTTGGTAACCATAAACTTGTTTTCTATGTCTGTGAATCTCTTTCTGTTTTGTAAATAAGTTCATTTGTATCATTTTTTAAAAGATTACACACATAAATGATATCATATGATATTTATCTTTGACATTCTTAACCAGTGATTTGAGAGTTCTTGGACAAAATTAGACATGTAGGTCCATCAACTCTGGTACCTCTTAAATGCAGCGTCCTTTGCTTCCTCTGAGCTAGTGGGCTGCTCCAGGGTGCTCAGCCCCCACCCCAGACATCTCAAAGCGATGTGCGGAAGTGAGTGTTGTGTGTAAAGTGCTCAGCACGCTTCCTGCCCAGGGAAGACACGCAGTGAATGATGGCCCCCCTCCTGCCATTTCTGGTCGCCATCTGCACTTTTCTGCACTTTATTCAGAGACACATTGGCCAAGGGTAGGGAGGATGGTCAGCAAGAACTCACACCAGATTTGCTAGGATTCGTCTATAGGAAAAGGGAAAGTTGCAAAGTGATAGAGAGAAATGAAAAGATCTTCCAGGTGACTCTAAAGATAAACACCATGAGGACCCAGGAGGGCTGGGATCCATCAGTGATCCCAGAATCACTGTATCAAACACCTGCAGAATTACTGATACAACCCCAGTTGTGCACTATGAGCTTTATTCACTTTTCTAGGTGAGACACAGTCTGTGTAAGATTTTCAAAGGAGACGTGACCCTCAAGTTCTCAGGAACACTGAAGAATCCACATTATCTGTTTTACACTTGAACTAATACTGTAATTCACTGGAGGGTTTATTTTCCTAATAACCACACTGCTTTTTTAACCATGGAAGACCACCAGAAAATTCAATTTGACTTAAATCCAGCTTTTCTGGATTTTTCAAAGTGAGGAAAACCTATATTTCAGAAAGCAGGACACACACCTATTTTCTAGTCTTTGGTTACATTCATAACACTCATGCACATTATAACATCTTGGCTTCATTGCTATAAGACTATTTTATAAAGGACTTCCTATGCCTTGATCTTACTGTTGTAAACCACAAATTCCAACACAAGCAGCTGAACCCATTGGCCAAATACCATAAGAAAACAAAAGAAGACCAAAGAGCAGTTCAGTTTTAATGAAGCCAGAACCAATATTGCTGTTTCGGTTAGGTTTTGGGTAGACATTTTCTTTTTCAATATATAAGTATACATTCCTAATTTCACCCAGTAACTTCATTCAGCCCACTTACTGTAACTGCAGTCTGAAACTAATTCTCCCTGGCGGGCCCATTAGGAGGTAGTGCCAGTCAAATCAGGCATTTTTAAAAGGCCAGAAGGAGGTTTTTCCATGTTTCAGACAACCAACTGGTAAAACCTGCCTTGAAATTGCCAGACCAAAAATATTTCTGCCTTGCAGTTAGTGTGGAACTCAAGGGACTCAATCTAATACCTGCCCAGGCGTTTCAACAGATCCAAAACTTTTGGCGACAAAAAAGATACCTCTGAGACTCACATTTAATAAGAGAAACAGTGAATCTGAGAAAGAGTCTATGTGTTTTAAAATTTTCACTTCAGGTTGTCAATTTCATACCCTGCCAGTCCTCAATTCTAAAGTACCCAGGCCAACAGGAGTCATCTCCGCATCTCAGCACAGCAGGCATTCACCCAGGCCTCTATCTTCAGTTGATTAGCTCGTCTATCAAAATTTCAGAAGAGAAAGTTGATACTAAATGAGATATTTGAAGGATATGATAACCATTCATTCTTGTAGGTTGTCTAAGTTAATGCCTGTATCAAATTCACCGGGGCTTAGCTCCCAGTAAAAATGTTTCCAGGTGGCCTTAGCATTGAATAAAGACATAATATTTGAAGCACGGCTTTGCATTTTAGACGCATCAACAGTTATACTCAACAGATAAGTAAATAATACAACATGCTTTTAGGTACCCTTTCCTTATTGGACTGACAAACAATCCTAAGAGCATCAGGAACACACTATTATTTTCCCATCTGTGAAGTGGGGACACTAAAGCTCAGAGGTTAATTGACATTTAAAAAAAATTTGGCTGCACGGGGTCTTGGTTGGCTCCGAGTGCAAGGGCTTAGCTGCTCTGCGACATGTGGGATCTTAGTCCCCTGACCTGGGATGGAACATACATCTCCTGCATTGCAAGGCAGACTTAGGCACTGGACCCCCAAGGAAGTCCCTAAATGACATTTTAAGTTCTCTTATTTCATGACTGACGGTTTTTGGTAGGGAGTTCTAGCTTTCTAGGTTTGGTGCATTTTCTATTACAGTATCTTACTTCACAGAAGAGAAAATACTGGTTGAGTTGAGAGATTTTTGCTAACGTAGTCAGAATTTGTGAAGAGCCTGGATGATACAAACAGGAGACTCATGTTTAAAAGTTGTCTGAAATTAGTTCATTGTTTTCAGATTCTACATATAAACAGTATCATATGTTTTTCCTTGGCTTACTTCACTCAGTATGATAATCTGTAGGTCCAACTTATATACAAAAGAGATATAGAAACACTGATGTAGGAAACGAATGAAAGGGGGAGTGGAGGGGATGAATTAGGATTTGGGGACTAATGTACACACACTATTAAACAGATAATCAGCAAGGATGACTGACGGTATAACAGTCAGTTATAACTGACCGTCAGATAACCGTCAGATAACTGACGGTATCACTGTTTGTGATAACCTATATAGGAAAAGAATCTGAAAAAGATTCTCTCTCCCTGTGTCTCACACACACACACACACACACACACACACACACACACACGTATGTATGTGTGCGTTTCCCTGGTGAGCCGGTGGCAAAGAATCTGCCTGCCAATGGAGGAGACATGGCTCTCTCCTTGGTCAGGAAGATCCCCTGCAGAAGGAAACGGCAAGCCTCTGCAGTGTTCTGGCCTGGGAACCCCATGGACAGTGGGGCCTGGCAGGTACAGCCCACGGGGTCACAAAAGACTCAGACATGACTGAGCAACTGAACAACACGTATGTACAACCGGATCACTTTGTCGCGCACCTAAAAGTAACACGGCATTATCTGAAACGGTAACCGAATATCAGATAAGTAAATAGTATCATCTCTAAAAACAAGAGACCAATTAGGCCCAGTCAAGTCTCTTCACAGCAAATTATATGAATGGACCACCAACAAAAAAGGTTTGTAAAAAGTGAAAATCTGGAACTGGGCAATACTGGATATGCTGCTGACAAACTTTTTTTTTTTTTTAAGCATTCAAAAGAAACCAATGTTTTCCTATAGTTGGGCTACCTCTCTATTGCCACATTCTTGACACTGAACTTTTTCTATGCCATGACTCTGAGGCCCTGAACTTTGAATGGGAACTCCAGAATCTTGAATGGCTCCAGGAATGTAAACAGCATTAATATTTTCATAAAAAATTATTATATTAGCTTGAACTAAAAAGAAGCAAAGAACCCAAGGAAACAGAGCTTTCTTTAGCTCTAGAGGGTAATGTTCAATTTACCTCAGGGAAGATTTCTGTCACTGCGTCACTGGGGTCACACCCCTGCCCCTTGTTAAAGCTTCATAGGGAGTTAATCCCTGTTACGTAAGGGGCCGCCGCCTCTGTAAGGACAGACCCACTGGAGAGACGGCAGCTCCCGTAGGTGGAGACTGGTGTCACAAAGGTGGTAACGTACTGCCACACAGATTACGGTAGAGCTTCAGAGCACTTTTATTTTTTGTGTCCTGCTGGGCTCACTAACAAAATTCATTCTAAAACAGGAAAGGGTTTACTCTTAGTCAAATGCAGAAAGCAAACATGCCAACTTCACTACTTTTCAAGGATGGTAGGGCTCAAGGCTTTTTCACAGTATAGATAAGAAGATGATCATTTAAAAAAAAAAAGGTTGTTGGGACTACTTCATGATCAAGGCTAAGTCCGCTTAAGGAGATATCTCAAAATACAACATGAAACCGGAATGCTGCAGATCGGTCAATAAAAGTAAATAAATCACTCAGACCCAATGAACCAATTTTCTTCCCATTTACCTCAACTGCTTGAATGTCTTCTGTCACTCATATTAGAAAGCAGAGCTGGTATTACAAAGCACCTCACAAGTCTTACTTGTTTTTTTTAAAATCATTATGTTTAAGATTGAAGTATAGCTGATTTACAGGCTTTGTAGGTGGCGCTAGTGGTAAAGAATCCACCTGCCAATGTAGCAGACACAAGAAACAGCGGTTCAATCCC